GACGCCGGTTGGATTCGAAGACGGTGATTGGACGGGGGAGGGGGGGGTATGTGACTTTGAATAGGACTTTAAATGGGATGCCGCGTTCGAATAAGCAGAGGATGACGTCCTCTAAGGATGGCCCCCACTTTTCTCTGATGCACTGAACAACCGATGTGGCATTGTGGACGAATAGGTTCCAAGTTCGAGCGTATTTTGGGATGATGGGGAGCATTAGGTAGCCAGGAATAATGCTGTCTTTTACCCGCTCAATCTTAAAATACTCGTTGCGCGTGAGGAGTTCTCCAGCATCGTTAGGATGGAGATCCCACAACACCGAAGGTGGTTCCAGTTCGAGCACGAGGGAGGAGATGAAATAACGGATGGCAAACTCATTACTGGGTTTGTCCAAACGAAGACCGGCTTCCATGATGTATTTACGAACGGTGTAGGTGTCGACGATTTGGGATTCTTGGATGTTCAAAAAGTCGCTGGCGGACTGTATTTCGGACTGCGTGTGGCAGATAAGTCCGTAGCGACTAAACAGAACCTCTTCTAGCGAGGTACCCAACAGTATATCCTGCCCAATGACGGATTTGTGCACAATGCTCCGTCCTACCTCGTTGTGGTCAGATGGAAGCGTGGGGGGTTCCCTGAGCAGCGGTACCGGAGTGGGGTCAACTTCTGGGAGAGGGTGTTCGAATTCGGTGTCGTCGTGTGTAGGAACTTCATCCTTGTCGAACAAGGAACAAATATCCCATTGGTTAGATATTTCGTCGTATACGAAATGCCCCTTCCGTCTGCTTGCAAACTCCTTCTTCGCATCCTCATAGTCCAGCTCTCCGCGGAACCTCCCTTGCTTCGATCGATACCACATAAAAAATCTCGTCCCATCTCGCTGGGTGGGTATGATGAAACTCGCAGCGTCTTGCAGCCTTTTCTTCACCCGTTCCTTTATGGCATTGGAGGCTCTGGACAAGAACTCTTCGAGCTTGGCTTTTCGATCTTCGACGAGTGCGTCCCATCGGTGAAGACTGTCTGGGTCGGGGTTAGATGGGCTTGGTTTGACGTCATCCGCCATGGCTTGGTTAACCATGGCACGGACACGAAGCTCTTCCTCTCGTGTAGGGATGGCGATTTGAAATAAAGGATGATTCAAGGACTTCGTGTTGAATATGCCTTTCGCCGATCCTATCTGAACCCAGACGGGGACTCGAATGCGATTGAGATATGGATAAAGAATGCCGAACTCAGAGGATCGAGGGTCAAGGACAACACCGACGCATCTCCCGAGCATCTCCGGTTTTAGCGCATCGATGATGTCGCATACGTGACTGTTACTCAGCCCAGATTGGACGAGAACTTCAGGGGGGGGGAGTGGGCGTCGAGGATCAGAGGAGCTGGAATTTTCGAATCTCACTAGTGCACGTCCGTAAAATAAGTTGACAAGCCCTATCAGACTATGAAAGGCCAGCCTGGATTTCTGTGCACAGCGAAGAGCATGGGAGTGTTTCTTGTGGTAACGAAGGTAGCCGTAAGATGAGGGAAGAGGTAACATGGAGAAATCCATGGGGAGTAGAGAGTCGATGCTGAGGATGGATGCGGCATGATGAAGTGTATTTTCGAGCCATTTCCAACTGGTTTGTTGTTCGGCAGACAGAGAGTAGGTAGTCCCTACGGTGACTATCCGGATGGCAGCGAGGCGCTGGAAGAGCGGCCCTGTGTACTGCAACTCTGAGTCGTCCGGGGTAGCCGCAATTTGTATGTAGCGGGAGAGTTGGAATCGCAATTGGAATAGATCGTCGGGGTCGGGATCTTCATGTCTGAAATCCGCTTTGACTTGCGAGGGGAACGGGCACACCGACTGAGTGGCCGAAAAAAGTATCGAATCTACCTCCTTCAAATAGAAGTAGTTTCGGTCCTTTGACGACGATCTATGCTAGGCGTGAGCGTGTGAATGGTGATTCAAAAATTATGGCTGCTTACATCCAAGGTGCAGCCCACGGAGGTGTAGTAGGTATTGGGGCGCTGGCCCTTGTATTCGCATGCCAAGGGATGGACCTGAAAGATCGTGTCAATGCGCAGGTTGTAGTAAAGGGAGTTCGCTGCTTACAGTGATGACGAGGCGCTTTGAATACTAACGGTATTCTGACGCTGAGCAGAAATCCTGAAAGTTTATGTTAGCGTGTTAGTTAAGATTGAAAACGTGACTACTTACATTGAAGGTGCAACAGACGAGATGTTAGTTAAGGACGGGGCCCTCGTATTCGCGTGCCGAGGTATAGGCCTGTACGTGAGTGTGAATGCGCAGGTTTTAGTAAAGGGAGTTTGCTGCTTACAAGGATGACGAGGCGCTTTGAATACTAACGGTATTCTGACGCTGAGCAGAAGTCCTGAAAGTTTATGTTAGCATGTTAGTTAAGATTAAAAAAGACAACTACTTACATTAAAGGTGCAACAGACGAGATATTAGTCGAAGACGGGGCCCTTGTATTCGCGTGCCGAGGGATAGGCCTGGACGTGAGTGTAAGTGTGCTGGTGACGATCAAGGGAGTTCGTTGCTTACAACGACAACGGGTCTCTTCGAGCGATTGTGGAAGTCAAATGCTGATGAGGCGTCCTGGAGTCCTGTGCGTCGTTTCGCGACATCGGGGCGTATTGGACTATAGCGAGGCGGCAGATGTTATGAGATTGACTCGAGTGTCAGGATGCGACTACCTGGAATTTCCAAGTAGAAGCCAGTGATAGGATGTTGGGTTGAGGTGCAAGAGATCGGTTTCCAAAAATGAGGCGCTTATATAGGTTCTGAGAACAATGAAACAGTCCACAGAACACAAGCCACAGTCGATAATTAGTAGTGGTAGGCGACATGTACTATAAACATCACGTGCTATGATTTAGTCGTGACGCTACATCGATCAGATTTCCTATTATGGAATGTGTGATATAGAGGCGTACTGGCACCGCAGAGGTCTGACATTTCTGTATAGTACGTGCAAGTATCAATAATTAGAGCCCTTGTAGACAGGAAAACGTACATGTTATTTTGGTCGCTGGAAATTTTTTCTACAACTTTTCACGATCAAGTTTGCGCTCGTCACCTTTTATCATGTGCACCCGACTTTGAGACTTCTTTTGTGATTTCCAAGACTTGAAGACTCTTGAATGACATCTAAGACTCTGAGGACAGTCTCGTGACTTCTCTTAATTGATCTAGATTTTCAAGATTTCACAGTCTTGTTACTTCGACGACTTTAAGGACATCTAAGACTTCTCTGACATTATTTGATCTAAATTTCCAAGATTCCCACAGTCTCACGACTTCCACAACTTAAAGGACATCTTATATGACATTTATTATTAATGCGTTGTTACTGTTCCATTTAAATACGGCGTATGGACTGAAAAATAGGCTATGCTGGACACCCGAGTCGTCGACACACCATACTTCAACTCAGAGGACATCTAAGACTTTGAGGACAATCTCGTGACTTCGACGACTTACAGGACAGCATAAGATTAAAGTCCTCAAAGTCTTAGAAACAAGATGTCGTCGCGCTTAAAAATCAGATTATGTCCTAGAAGTCCTCAAAGTCTTAGAAATCAGATTGTGTCCTCAAAGTCCTTGAAGTCTTAGAGGTCGTCTTTTCAAGTCGTCGAGCCTAGAAATCCGATTATGTCCTCGAGTAATCAAGTGATGTCCTTCAAGTCCTCGAAGTATTAGAGGTCGCGAAACCGAGTAATTAAATGATAACCTTCGAGTCGTCGAAGTCATGAGACTGTTCTCGTAACGAGAAAAATTAAATTATAATGCTCGAGTCCCTAAACGAGAGAGTAATAGTACATCCAAATCCATCCAAATGTATTGTACAAGTATCATGCTTAAAGTCCTATCCGTATACAAGTACGTGTAAGTCCAAATAGATTCCGTTGATAAGATATATGCATTGTGTTGTATGGATATAATAAGAGAAATATTAACGACAACCCGAGCTAATCTAAAGCCGCAAAGGATCTTGGATCCTGCTGGTCAATATCGTAGCACAACACATCCGCTTGAGCCTCAGTTACAAGGTTCCGAGTGCCTTTGGACGAAGTTGCTATATACTGGCAAAGTCTCGACACCCATTGGCTGCTTGTGGCGAACGCGCGCGAATCTCTATTTTTTATCGCAGCAATCTGACCCATAAACCATGCCTCCAAACTTGGCGTCCACTCTCCTTCCCACTGCATGTACTTGTCAAATATATTGATAGGAGGCCATAACGTATAATGGTCCTCGGTCACCCCTAGAAGGGTATCGACATGAGCGTCCGTTACCATGTCGTCAACATCGGTGCCAATGCGCTCGACACTGGAGTGTACGATAGCGTCCGTCGAAGGGCCAGAGAGGGTCGCTGAGATCAAGTTGTCCGGTCCAAATTGTACTGCAAGTCGCCACAAAAGACTACCCATGGCACAGAAACGTCGACTGAAGGGAAGTCGAAGCATGACCCTGACGTGCTCATCATATTGCTCGAATACTCCTTTGCCTCTTTTGAGCACGACAGGTTTCTCATCAAGATAGCCCGGCCGTGGAGCCGAGATGGTGTTCAGTGCGCCAGCAAGGTGCTGGGGGTTGGCAAAGACACGCCAGTCGAGTCCGCGGGAGAGACAACGGATTGCGAAAAACCACAGCGGTACGTCTGGATATTGCGCTCTCCAAAGACGAAGTCTGACCTCAGTTCTCTTAGAGACTACCAACCTCCCACGAGAAATGACATGCAGGAGGTGGTAGGGGGGGTAACAAGCGATATGAAGAAGGCGGTTCTCGGGATCGCTACGCAGAGACGCGGAAAGTGGATTAAGAACCTCATACTGCTGAAGGCAGTTCGCGCGATCGAGGATGGAGCGGGTTATTGCATTGCTGATGGGACGGGATCCCATCCTGTTGAACCCTGCGACGGTTGTCACGGTGGAAGAAGGAACAAACTGCACGAGCCCCATGGGGAGCGACAAAGTGCCAGGAATCGACTGCGGTGCAGCTGAGAAGTTTAATACATATAAAAAATAAGTCTAGGATTGAAGTATTGTGCACTCACAGCGCTGAATGGTTGGCTGGTCACGATAAGGAGAAGGCGCTGATTAAGAAAATTAGCTATGTTAAAACGACTACTTTTCTAAGAGAAAACATACCTCGATGACTTCTTCGGGCAGGACTGCGGTGACGGCTGGGCTGTCTGTGTGTTCCCCTAAATCTCATCGGTGAAGGAGATCTACCGCGGCGAGTAAATTGTTGTGGAGACCTTGATCTACCACGACGAGTAGGGATTTGACGGTCAGATCGAGACGGAGGATAGTCTCTATATGAAGATGGCCGAATTCGGGGAGAGACAGGCCGGTGAGGATAAAAGGAGGATCCATGGCGAGGAGGGGAGATCGAACGACGTGATGTATGTAAAACATAGCTTGGACGTGCTTGGCGAGGGGACAGATGTCCACGATTCAAGTTGTGCCCCTTGCCTGCGCCTGGGGTTGATTTGTCTGCATCGAGGGTAATTTCTCCTGGCTCGGCATCGACGTCCATACTGTCGCCCGCGACAGTGTCGTGCATTTGACGTTCCAAAAGTGCCTCCATCTGCCTCAACCTCTCCATCTCCAACTGCCTCTCGTCCTCGATCTCTTTCTTTTTCTTTATCTCCATCTCAATCTGCCTCTGTCTCTCGTCCTCGTCCTCGATTTCCTTCTGCCTCTCCATCTCCAACTGTTTCTTTTGGTCTTCGATCTGCTTCTGTCTCTCCAATTCCACCTGACTCTGCCTCTCGTCCTCAATCTGCTTGATCCTCTCCATTGCCTGCCTCTCCATCTCGTCCTCCTTGTCTTTCTTAAGGCGCGCAGCATCCATTGCTCGTGAAATTGCTTTCTCTTTGTATCTTTTTACGAGCTGCTGCCTCCTTTCCACCTTCTTCTTCTCCTCCGACTCAAGTTGAGCCGATGGTATTGCGTTTTGGGATGTCGAAGTAGAGTCAACTATCGTATCAGACGTGAGCGTATTGATAGTTTGTCGTGGTGGCTTTGCGTTAATTTGATCTCTGCCGATCGCCTTGAACCATATCGCTCGTGCATGCGCAGGTTCAGATATACCCAGGGCATCACCGAAGACACTATGTTCAATCGTATTTAACGAAAAAAGTCCGCAAGAGCACGAGTCTGCTTGAGTTCCGTGTGGCAATGTATTTCCTTGATTTTCGAATGGGCCATCGAAACGGAGGGAAAGCCAGTGCTGTAACTTGGGAATAAAAGGTCGAAGTGCGTTTGGGAGACTAAGAGAGTCGCCTGCCTTCAGGTAGGTTTTTATCTAGCAAATGAGGGGAATGGCCTACCGTAGCAAAATATTTTCCGTCCAAAGTCGATGCGGAATGAAACAAAGTGGTGCACTTCTGGAATACACACTGGGAAATATAGAACCTTTCCTTTCGATAGCGTCTCTTCTAAGTTTTTGAAACTGCGGGGCAAGGAATTGACGTTGGGTTCTGAAAGGCGGATCGCATCGGCGAACTCAGTGTCTGTTATGACGATGTTGGAATGCGCTTCGACTAATCGGCGGGTGGTATACTGGATCATCATATCCACGAGAGTATCTGAGAGCCACGCGTTATCGGACAGAAAGCGTGCAAGTTGTGTGGTGTTCCTTAGGCCGCTTGAAGACAGCCCGACAAGCTGCTTGCGGTAAGGTAGACGAAGCATAACTTGACGTGCCGTGGTAAAAGGATTAGAAGGCGAAAAACTCCCAATGAAGCTCTCTTCGTTCTTTTTCTTCAACCAGGTATCTGCAACTACCCACGTCATCTTAGCCTCGCGAACTTCATGTAGTCTTTGCCAGAGGTTCAACATCCACAGGGGCAACGGTTTGTTTTTGAGTTGAGGATCGAGGATCGACCGCTTTCCATCCTGAATCGCGCTTTCAAGAGATGCGTAGAGGCTATATACCCACTGCTTTGGAGGTATACCTCTGGTGAGGTCTAGATCCTCGATTGGACGTGCTCTGTCAAAGCACGACGTTCCACTCTCTGTGAAGGACCCAGCCTCGATATCGGGCACGTTGAAGTCCAAGATTTCGCCTACAGTGGCGTCGGAGGAGGAGGGTAGAAGCATGGAGTGTACCTGCTCTGGTATTTTCATTACCTCCGACATAAGCTCTAAATCTTGCGGATCCAATTGTTCGCCTGCATCGAACCAAGTTCCAACCGGTACATGAGTAGTAACGGCCGGAGGAACGGTGGGCGCTGCGGAGAAAGGCGTGTCTTTATCCTCATCTAACTCAAACAAATCGTCCTCGTCGGTACCATCGTAGTCGGAGTAGTCGTGGTAGAGTTCGATGTCGCCCGTTCGTGGATGAAAGGTCTGCGACGAACGAGCATCGTCCTTCAGCCGATTGATCTCCTTGTAATTGTTTGTAATCTCTTGGCGCGGTTGAGATTTGCCTTGAGTCACAAATATTCTCTTGCGAGCTTTTTGGCCTTTGAATTGAGGCTCTTGGCCGTCTGGCCAGAACTGGCCTGGCTTCCCGCAATAGCTGACGACTGACGCGAAGGAATCAGACAAAAATCGATAGACATTCAGTATACGTACTTTTAGGATTTCGTTTAGGTTGTGTAGGCATTGTTTCTGCCTGTTCCCATGGATTCTCTGCCCAAGCCAATGGTGCGTCGGACGTCGATGCCGTGTCATTCGCTAAAGAACGTAGATGAGCTGTTGAAAACGATAGTTCGTGATTTGGCTCACGAGTATTCGACTCAACAGGGCGTTTCCTGCTCACAGACATGACTCCAGTCCGCATGGGACCTCTGGGTTTAGCGGCCTGCGGTTTCTCCGAGACAGTAGAGTGGATACGAGGCATATGAGATCGCAGAGAGTATGAGAAGCACTAAGTGTTTTGATAGTAGAGTAGATTTGGTAGCTGAGGGAATGTTTAACGTCTCACTGGAATTTCCAATGAGAGGTTCAGGTGTGATGGAAGTTGTTGACGAGGAACAAGTAAGCTGGTGAATTTAAGCTTATCTAAATGTGGCAGTGGTTATTGCACATGTGGCAGTGTTATTGACTGCCAAATACGTAGCACATTAGTCATCAACTCTAATGAGCTACTTAACAATGCGGGTCCATTAAACGCACATCGGGATTCTGATATTGTCGTAGATTTTGCTCTTAACTTAAAGTTCAAGCCACCCAAGGCATTCAAGTGTGGTTTAAATGTTGTACTAAATATTGCAAACCCCGATGTGATGATCCCCAAATATAATTGTTTTGATTACTTCTGTACTACATATACTTATGTTTCAGTGAGTTGTACAGTGACGAAAGAAGTGTTGAGTGAGTAAGCGAGGCAAATTTGCAATAGAGAAAGGTCCGACAACAAGCGACGGGTAATCCACGAGGATTCAGAATGTACAATCTGACGTCGCAGAAGTCGTCAAAGTCGTCAAAGTCATTAGAATCTCCAAAGTCTTCACAGTCGTCGAAGTCGTCAGAGTCCCCTAAGTCACCGGGGTCTTTGAAGTCGCAGAAGTCTTCAAAGTCTTCAAAGTCGTCAAAGTCGTCAAAGTCTTCAAAGTCTTCAAAGTCTTCAAAGTCTTCAAAGTCGTCAAAGTCGTCAAAGTCTTCAAAGTCGTCAAAGTCTTCAAAGTCGTCAAAGTCGTCAAAGTCGTCAAAGTCGTCAAAGTCTTCAAAGTCGTCAAAGTCGTCAAAGTCGTCAAAGTCGTCAAAGTCGTCAAAGTCGTCAAAGTCGTCAAAGTCGTCAAAGTCGTCAAAGTCGTCAAAGTCTTCAAAGTCGTCAAAGTCGTCAAAGTCGTCAAAGTCGTCAAAGTCGCATGTGTCCCACAAGTCATCATAGTCGCACAAGTAGTCAAATTTCTCGGCAAGTGCTCAAGACTTCTTGCTGTAGTAAGTCGCTCGCAAGTATCAGTAAGTAGCCCGGCGTGTTGTTTCGTCCGCACCTAACTTCAAATTTACTATGGGTGAATCAAAAAAAATGAACTATTATGATATGGCGTTACAAAGGTGCGATTTCAAGGCGCTGCCTGCAATATGAAGGGAGTGTCCGAACTATAGATATTGTACAGTTCCGTGATTTCTATCAGTACAGCATGTAAAATTCAAGGCGGTGCCTGCGCTATGAAGAGAGTATCCAAACTATAAATATCCTACAGTTCCGCAATTTCTATCAGTACAGCATGTAAAATGTAACAAAATGATGTAATACTAGTGTGTAATAACAACACTACAGGGTGGTGAAGCGTTCTAGACAATTCAACAGTTCTTCTCTACTGACGAGTTCGCCCGGATGCATCTGGCTACTACTTCCATCCGTCTGCTTCTTGCGATACACAGATGTCGCGTTCTTTAAATCCTTCCAAAAATGTTTAACGATTGCATTTGCAATCTCATTCGCTCGTTTCGTCGTGCTCGTCTTGAGCTTTGGCCTTTCGGTGCCAGCGGCCACATATTTGTTGGTATCTAAGACCATAATACAAAGAGCCATTAAAGGCCTGCTGTACAGCTCTAAAGGTCGATGTTACACGTGTTCAATGTAGTGAAAACGGAAATGAACTCACTAACGCGACGCGAGATGCGCGGTAAGTTGACAACCATACGTTGGAAGGTTTCCAGAGAGTGTTCATGGACCTGGTTTGTCAAGGTCCTTCCTTGCTTATGGTCGACGTAACGGGAAAGTTCCGTTAGATGCATGGTTTCGTAATTATAAAAGTGCCCTCCTGTGGCGAAGGAGGCTACCGGTGTATACACCGCGTGAAACTGTCCCGGTGGTTGTATTCTGCAATTGTAAGCATGGATAGATACATAAGGACCAAATACTCACAGCATATCACCGGGCAAGAGAGTGACGATCTCTCCGTGCCAACTTTCTTCGATATTTTTGCGGCTTCGATAGAGATCCGTCAACTCTGGTGCTATCTCAGAGAGTTTAGTACGAGAAATTTCATCTTCGTTACGGTGTCTCCATAAGCCCCATTTTTTTTCGCCCGTTTCGACTTGCACAAAAGTAAGACTTCCGTCAGAGTCATGGTGCGGATGTGTCCAGTACGCAGGGCCATGGATCAATGCCCACGAATGGACGGTAAAATTGTCCGGATGGACTTTTTCACCAATGGGGCAGTCAACAGTGGTTTGATTCCATCCGTTGATAATGCCGCTATCGAGAGTGCTAAGCATAGACGGTTTAGTGGTATGTTAATGTAAATATATGTGGTACTAACCTTAGTTCTAACGGGAGACCTCCCTGTCCAAATGCAACGTCAAGAATGCATTGAATCTTGTTTGGGTCGTGTATGTTGTTCACGAACTCTTCGAGAGTCGCGTGCTGATGCGGATATGTAAAATCTTTGGTGCGTTGTTCAGCGTCTATTGTAACTACATTAGATAGTGTAATGCAGATGCGAATTAAAAACAGACTCACCATGTACGACTACACGCATCAAGTCTGACATGCCACGATCTTCTAGGTAATCTAGATCGAGAGTTGCAGGCTCGGGTCTACTTATATTTCGAATAACAACAGCCTTGTTTACCCGAATCGCCGCAGAGATTTCGTCGCACAGTTGCCGGCTTTTGGTGCGCCAGTCGCTGTACTTTAAGTGTACGACGTTTTTTGACGTCTCAGGAAGCGATTCCGGAAGGGTTGCAAAGTAAGACACCGTCGTAGCATCTTCCTGGCACACGTTTACGCCATCCCTGACTATGCACGGTAGCACGGTAATAGATCCATCAGACCATGTGATGGTTTCTGATTTCTCGTGCACCTGCGAGCCTATAATCGGAGTTGCGAGGTCACGAGAGTCGAGGTTTGTGGGAACGGATGGGTTGGGTGAGGAAGGTTGTTGTGAACTTTCGGGGGATGACGACGTAGGATTAATGTGTTCGGGGATGACGGTCATAACCTCTACATCGCGCATGAGGGGAGGTGGTTTTAGACTTTTGCGGGATGACGATGTAGGGTTAATGGGTTCGGGCACGACCGTCATCACCTCCGCATCGAGCATGATACGGGGAGTCGGCCTAGTCGCGACGTTTTCCTCATTAAGGAGGACGGGGTCGATTGGAATATCGACAGGCGCTGAATCTGAGCGCTCCGCCACAGGATTTGTCTCATGTGACGAGACACGCTGCCTCTTTCGAGGACCTTGGTCTTGAACTTCCGCGTCACCGGTCTGCTCGGCCTTCTCCTTCTCCTCCTTCTTCCGTTTACGCCATGCACGCTTGTTAGCTGTGTTCTTCTCCCTTATTTCTTGCGCCCTGATAGGATCGCGCTTCTCGTTCGCCAACCATCTTCTTTGGCGTTCGCGCTGCTTCTCCTCTACAGTCATCTCGGCGTCGGCAAGATCTTCGTGATGAAGCCTCCGCTTCTTGTCTCCCTGGTCGTGCTGTGGCATTATATTAACAAGGAATTTCCTCAGTTAAGATAATAACAAGCGTGTAATCTAAGATGTACGAGTATGATACTTGCAACGCGAGCAAGTAAAGGTAAGAGGAAAGAAGTGCGTGTAGAGTGGCAAACGAACGTCTTTAGAATCGGCCACACATTATGTAAGATTCCACACCAAATTCCTGTCATTGTACTACAGCTCTGAGTCGTAGTGGACTTTTTGTCGACATGCACGGTATTTTATATAGGAGTTTGATCCCATAAGGTAAGCGTAAACGAGGTAGCTGAAGCGATGAAGGCTTTTCCTGTCCTCAAAGTCTCCAAAGTGTCCTCAAAGTCATCACATGCTCAGAGTACCTTAAATTTGTAACAGTCTTTAAATTCGCAAAGTCCGGATATGTGATAAATTCTACAGTCATGGAAGTGATAACTGTCCTCATAGTCTTATATGTCCTTGAAATCCTTGAAGTGGCGAGACTGCCCTCGGAGTATTATATCTAATTCCAGTAGCGGAAGTTGCGAGACTGTACAGTACATAATTCATAAACACACTGCAACTTGTAATCTATTTAAGTCACGCAAGTCGTGAAACTGTCCGCAGAGTCTTAAATGTCCGTTCGTGGAAGTCATAATTGTCCTCAGAGTCTTGGACGACCTTGGAAGTCGTGAGATTGTCCTTAGTCATAGTCTTAGATGTCCTTGAAGTCACGGAAGTCGTGAAACTGTCCTCAGAGTCTTAGTTGTCCTTTTAAGTCGTGTCAGTCACATATCCTTAGACGTCGTTGAAGTAATAGAAGTTGTGAGATTGTCCATTGTCTATATCGACTATTCGGTTGTGTTAGTATTACAGTTGTTATAAAGATTAACATTGTCGTGCCCGAATGTGATGCAAGCCGCATCCCTCCAGCAGCATAATGCCTTGCTTCTTTCATCTGGACGGTTCCATTCCGACCACAGTCAATCGCCAGTTCAATGCCATCCTATCGTCTTATTCAAACACACGCACCAAATCAGTCACCGAAGATTTAGATCCACCTGTGTGCGTTCACCCAGTGCACTACATACATGCGAATGTATTCTACTTCAATATAGTCTTCACGACCCCCCCTGCAAATCTTTTAGTACTACAAGTAGATCGTCCATCCTCTCTTCCAAAAACGCAATCTTCTCTGATGCGATGGACGCTGCATCTCGCATTGCCAACAGTTCTTCTTCTTTCTCCTCTAGCAGCGCTTGCGTGTCCGCTAAAATATGTGTCTCCATTTTCCCTAGACATCACTTGCAACTAGCGAATATAAGATATTCACGACACGTACTAGCCTCTCGTTTTGCCGCAGCAGCAGCCCTCCTCTTTGCTATCTTCTTTCTCTGAATTTCCTTTTTGATATCGGAACGAGTTAGGTCTTTAGATCCAACAAATTAGCAGCTGACGGAGTGAGATTCAATTGTGTGACGCACCAGTTTCCTCTTGCTGTACGATGAAAAGTGCATCTTGCTCTGCTCTCCGCTTGTTACGTTTCATCGTGCCTTTCTGGTACCTAGCAAATACTATCGAGAATGTTATATAGAATAATTCATGCTCGTGGGACGTACAGATATCCTTTTGTTCCGCCACACGCAACGCACAACGTTTCTCCCACTTATCCAGCCCTTTCATCGTACGAATTCCGGACTCGAAAAGCCTGCGAACAAGTTCTTCGGAGGTGATTTTCCTGCCAAATTTCTTTGAAATTTGGATAGCTGCATTGCATGTATCTAAAAAGAATTAGTTGTTCCGATGATCAAAAGGACGTGTGGTACTACCTTTTTGTTCCATGGTATTATCTCTAAAACCTCGACAGACTGGAGCTGTAAGGAAGTCGCGGTTAGACAATGGGATAATATAAAGAGTCAGGTGTTGGTATCCAACAAATTTTGTAGAGGTGTCTAGTCTGAGTTACAAACTAGAGATCTGAGTTGGATAGGCCATCAGCGTTTGACTTACACCTGCAAAACTGTTCAAATGTCACAACACGTAACATTACCTGATTAGGAATTGTGAAAACGCTCGAGTATTATGACTCATGTATGCATGTGT